GTTGTCTAGATGTACAAGCAATAACTTGTCCATTCAGCATTAGCACACCACTAAGTCCCATCTTAGACACATTCATAATACACTACAAATGACTCACTCAGATTAGGCAAAAACCAATATCGGAGCAGTCGTCAATCTTTTCTTTAATTCTACAAAACTTTCTTCACATGCAACATCCCATGAACAATTATCCCTTTTAATGTTGAACATCTCATTTTTCAGCTTATTCGCCAACAACATATTATGCTTGACCTCGTCTCGAACAACTGCGATAATAATCATTTATGCCCAAAAAGTCTCTAGTTCTGTAAACGACTTCAGAGTCCCTCCATAGAGGAATTCATCTACCATATTTGAAACAACTTTCATATGATAGGATATATTTCTATCTCCTCATAGGCTCAAACAGAACACCAATCTGATACTCGGAACATAAGATATGAATTTCCAAAGTTATCCGAAAATGTGAACACCGACGTCATGCAGCGACATACTAATACACACCTCACAATAATAAAAGAATTTCTTTGCACCAGTACCAACATTACCACTCTTGAAATCATACTCGTCTTCTCCCATTTTCGACTCTGACTCGTGATTCAAAATATTCCAATAACTTCAACAACTTTTTCAATCACTCACAAGGATCCCACGACAAGGTCTACAATAATATGTCACTCTATCATCGTTCAGACGTCGACATCTTATGCAAGGGCTACCCAAACTGACAACTTCACAGTCCACCAGCAACGCTGAAACATCACAACTTTACAAATTACATCTTCTAAAAATTATCCTTGTTACTTAACAATCACCTTCAGAAACATCAGGGATTTACACTCTACTTGTATATTAACAACTGTTACGTTGCTCCTCATCCTTCGAGAAGTAAACATCAACAATTTCTAATCATCCTCCCTCAAGACGTTCCGACTTGATTAACAAACAAATTTTGTATCCATGTCACCTTCAGATTCGCGAAACAAAAAAAAAACTTCGACAATACTTGCACTGTCGTTATACCGAACCAACATCTTACAACCGATACACATCCGAGAAACAAAACTTCTCCCCCACTTATCTTCAAACCAACTCCTGCATACAAACGATTAGAAAAGAAAGCAAGCACCGACATTGTTTCACACACTTGTCGCGTACTAAGAAATAAACAATATTAGACAACTTGGCCGGACGGGCCGACTTGCTCTGATACCAACTTTGTAACACCCAAATTTTACCCGACAATTATTATAAAATCAGATTTATAAAATTCAACAACTAAATCAGGATACTACAATTTCAACTTAAAACAACGGTGTTCATTACAGATACATAACACATTAAACAGGAATAAACCAACAACAACATAACTTAATCTTTTAAAAACCAACAACTTTCATAACTACGCAGCGGAGTCAAATATTCAACTTAAAAGAATATATCATCTTTGTCCAACTAAACAAATTTAATAACGAGTATTTAACGAACAACAACTTAAAGTTCAATCAACTTAAATAATAACAATAAAACAACAAGCGTTCATCCCCCCAAGTGTTATATATCAGAGCAATGACACTGACTCGGACTACTGAAGGTAAATCACCTTCACTCTGGATTACCTGCACGTTACCAACATCGGGGTAACATTCAAACAGAAGGGGTGAGATATCGAACAATATAATCAGATGTATGATAAAATTACATTAGAATTAGTCTATGCCAAATCACCACTTCACAACTTTAAACATCGTCAATCACAACGAAAACATCAACAAAACATAATAAATAATTTACCAACACAATAACTCAATATGCAACGTGAAATGCAACTTGTTACTATGCAAATGCATGTGGTACCAGCGGAGCAGAACTCCCAACTTAAAAATGGAGCAGAACTCTCAACTTAGAAACGGAGCAGAACTCCCAACTTAGAAATTGCCAATTAATAGAGGCAACAACAAGGCATAAGCCTTTAACTTAATATTTTGCCAATCCAGGCCAACTTGTTATGCTATGCATGCAACAACAACACAACAACAACAACAATTCCACCATAACTTAATTCAACTTAAATCAGCATTGGCCATAAGCCTGCAACTTAATAATAATTTAACACTGGCCATAGGCCTATAACTTGATATTTCAACAACAACGATTAACACAACATTGACATAAGCCTACAAATTAGTATGTCACAACAACAATAACATATCAACAATAGTAATCCGACAACAACATCAATAAGAAAACAACATTGGCCATAAGCCTAACAATTTAATACCACCCGCAATTCATATTTTTCAGCAAAGTATTCAACACACCGTATAAACTAAAATATATAACAATTGTTCCATATAGTTATTCGGGAAAATCGACTAAAACCTTCTAATTACTTATCGGTGAAAAGTTCTATTATTTCTACTTTATATTAATATTCCTTATTAGTTTTCTGACAACTTAATACTACACTGCTATTCAATTCCGCTATATACATATACCAACTCCATTAAATTAACTCCACTATAATTAATTCTCGGTTACTGCTACTAAAGTATTCAACTAACTAGCTCTGTTAAATATTAACTCTACTATTCTCATACTAACCATCTCTATTATAAACCAATTATGCTATGTATTAATACTCTATTATTTACTGCTACTAAAACAACTCTACTAAATTTACTACTCTACTAATTAATTTACTGATATAAGAATATTCTTCTATTCTGCTAAATATATAAGTTCTGTAACTTCTTCACTTTATGTTACTAGTAAATAACCTCTGCTATTACTCACCCTTTTCCAACTATGCAACATCCAATTCTGTAACACAATATTAAAGGAATTGACACACAGTAAAGGCACAAAAAACAATTAAAGAATTAATGGTTAAGGGTCATGCCCCTCGACATGTAGAGCCATTCCCCTCGGCATGTGCAATCGTGCCCCTAGGCACATAACATGGTGTCGGTCGGTACCCCATCACCACCACACTTGTGCCGCTCGTCACAAGTCCATGAGCCGGTTACAGTTTCCTGCGATCACTAATTCCTTCTTTGTCCATAATCTCATGCCAACACAATAATTATACCCACATTAATATATGATAATTTCCAACACTCGATTCATCGAGTGAATCACTGCAATGTTAGCACAATTATCACAGATGCCAAACAACAATTTATCCATACAACAATCACACACAACAACAATTTCACACAACCCAATTCCCATGTAACATGCATCATATACCCAATTATAGAGTCAGAACTTCACCCTTACCTTGGATTGAAGGTTGCTCTACAATTTTCTGATCGAATTCCACTTTTCCTTTTTTCTTCTTTGCTCTGTAACTTCTACGTTCCCTTTCTTTCTTCCAACCCTTATTCCTCTTCTTCTTGACAAAAAACTAAAATTTTCTTAATGTCACATCTAATTTCTATTATTATAACCAAACTCAATAATAATAGAATTATTTATATTGGGCTTAATTCTCAAACCTCTTTAGTACTACATACCACTATATAAAATAGGCCCAACAACTTAATCTTATACTATTCCGTTAATTCCAACATTATTATTATTATTACTATTAATCAACCAATAACTAATTAATAATAATCTTAACAACTTATACCAATAATTCTCAACATCTCACAACTTCAACAAATAATCCAAAAATAATTTAATTAAATAATTAATTAAATTAACGGGCGTTACAACAGTTACCTCAATGACAATAATCGAAAACAGAAGAACACATTTCCAATTACAAAACTCAATTTTGCGTAAAAGCCTTTTATTGAGAATAATAACTTGACACACAATCAACTCTTTTCTTAACTCATGAGTGATTGGCAAGTAATAATGAAAGATCAACCTACCTCAATGTATCCGAAGATACATGGGACATACAAAAACAACCAAAGCACCTAAAATAATGTCAAAACCCTAAACCCTTATTTCAGCCACACACGATTTTTTGATGTGAATTATTTATAATTTTAGGTTTAGTAAGTCCTTATATAGAAACTCTTGCAGAATGGGCACTACAAAAAAAATTTTTTTTAGTGTCGGCCAAAAAACATCACAAACACCCAAATAACTGTTGTTAATGTGTACTAGTGACGCACTGGCGTCGGTGTCGGGGCTGTCAATTACCTAGTCGAAGCAAAACCTAGCCGCTAACCGTCACTATAACTAGCGAAGGTGTTAACAGCGCTAAAGGGTCTCTAATTCCAAGTAGCCGGCGTTATGTTACAACTATGTCTACGTGTGTGTAAAGTAGCGTCGGCTAAAATCAACGCTTTTTACAACATAGTGTCGGCTATGTTAAACACTATAGTTCTATGTACAATGTTATAGTGTCGGTCACAAGCAACACAACAATTTACAATTTAAACTCATAGCGTCGTCCTAAGCTGACGCTATGTATACTTTTTTCTAGTAACCTACTTACTAGCATCGGATGTTAGTGACGTTATGACATTGCCCACCTGTCATCAACGACGATTATTGGAGTCACTACAACTAAATCTTTAATCTTTAGGCGTCGGTTTTTAGAGTCACTAAGTTTAAAATTATGATATGTTAATGTCGATTTTAACGGACACTAGGTATTATATATTTTTTAAACCGCACCTTTTTGTAATGGCCACCTGATTTTTAATTTCTAAAACTACCAAAACATGTATGCATAAGGCAAAAACATAAGCTAATATTTAAGATTATGTACATTTAAGTTCTCTTTTCAAGAGGCGAAACATACTTTCATTGTAGAACAAGTGGACAATAATTTGCCATTTTAAGATTATGTCTTGCAAATCAGCTCGTCCATCTAACCAAAGATCAATGTCACAACAATTTGCTAATACTTAAGTTTGTGTCTTATACTAGTGCAACAAAACTAATGTTTAAATCATAAACTAATAAACCAAAATGATAAAAACAGGGATACATTAATCTCCAATTACAAATTGTCTTTGTCTTCATTTTTATCTTCAACTCCAATTCTCCAACTCTAACAAAAATCCAGCCATCCCCTAAATAGAAAAAACATTGCTCGGTATTAGACACATTAGCATAAAAATAGTATAAGAAACCAATGTAAACAAACTCGAGACTCAATGTATATTTGAATTAACACAAGCATAGTCCAGAAGTGACTAAGCAATATATAAAGTCAAATTCTAATATATCACTTGCAATTAGGGAAATAGAACACTGAAACCAATTCTTTCAAAAGGAATGTCATATAGGTAGGAAATTCTCCTTTTGATAATTCCAATATTTTTTGTATGATTACATAACATGAATGTTGACACAAACAGGCATTAAAATTATAAATCTTTACTTGATAATTCCAATATTTTATGAAAAAAAACAGACAATTACCAGATGAAATTCAATAGAATATGAATTTTGCAAGCTGTTTTAATCACATCACATCCATTTTGGCAAAGATTATTTCTAGGACAGAAATTGGAAATAAGTGATCTTGCAATCGAAGTTTGTAATTTGGATGATACAACTTATAATGATTCATGTTAGGGATCAAAATCAGCAAGAAATTTTTAAATGAGTTTAAATCAAATTATGTAACAAGTGAGCATAACATTTAGATTTCATAAAGTAGGAGCAGTAAACATGTAATCAACATTTAATCAAAAGAAACCATGCCTAAACTTGAAGAAATCAACATGTAAATAAGAGAGTTAGAGATCTGAGGCTATGTTGAAGCTCAACGTGTTCAAAGGTTTTCATTTTAATACACCAAAAAGTAGTATTTGCTAACAAGATAGTTTCAATAGCAATACTCATATTCAATATTTACAATCACCTATAGCAAGATCATAGCAATACTGAGTTGTAACAAAAACGGCTAGCAAGATAATAGCAATGCTCGATGGTAACAACAATCCTTCTAGTTTAATTATCGTAAATAATTGTTGACAAACATATGAAATAAATATAACAAGTAAGTTATTGGATATAGGAACATACATATAGCTAAAAAGTTCCAAACAAACAGCTGAAGAAATTTGGCTTTCAAGATAATGATTTGCAGATTGCAGTGCCCGGAATGTGAATTAAACAAGAATGTATAAACAAAGAAAAGAAACTATTTAATGGCATACTAATGGTGATTGGTATGTCTTGTTACACAAAATTGCTCTAAAGGAAAAAAAATCCTCATAAAGTGGACACAGCAGTACAAAACAAATAAAACCATAGTTTAAAAGACAAAACTAACAAAATAATCGTTCAAATGTATAATAATTCAAATTAGAGTGTAAAGAATCCCAATTGATTTTAAAAAAGGTGTTATGATTATATCACCAAACGCATCAATAAAACTAAATTTGTGACTAAAGGGATTAGATCTTACATGGGTTTTCTCGGAACGGCGGTCAACCCACTTCCTATCCTTCTTTTTGTGGGTTACTATGAAGAGCTCGTCGGAATTGGGTGGTCGACTTAACTTCTTCTCCTATAAATAAAGACAAATGGTTACATTAATGAATATCGTATCGAATATAAATATCTTGACGCATTATAATTAATATTAGAATACACACCAAATCAAGAGCAACATCATGATGAGCTTTACGTCGTGAGGTATGGACCGCCCGACCTTTAGTTGATGCTTGATTCTTCTTATTTTGTTTGGACACTTGTTTGAATTCTTCTAGTTGCCACCCCTCATGAAAATACTTCCATACATCTTCACCCATCCGATCCAGTTTTTTTATCGCGTTCCTCATCTTATAAAATATGTCTTTTATTCTTATGCCACATTGCTTATGAAACTCATCTTTCATTCTAGCATCGTCACGCGGCCCCCACCAAACAAGAGACTTACAAAAAAGAAACGTTATTGATTAAACTTTAAAAAAATACACACTATCATCAAACTACTAAAAAAGTAATTACATATCTTACTTTAAACATGTCAAAATATCCATCCCTCTCATGTGATCTCTTCACATTTTTAAGCTCAATGTACTTCATATAAGTTCCTCGGTATTTTTTGATGATTTTTTTTAAAAATAATTCTAGCAACAATATCACTTGGATGTAACCTACAAATCCACAACCGTTATGAGGTGATTTCCAACTAACAGAATCTAAACTAATATGATATCAAATTAATATAGAAATTGTAAACTACTACTTTTCTTACCCATGGCCCACAATTGTAATCAACGGCCTTTGTCCACTAGAAATTTTTTGTTCACTCTCCTCTTCCTCCGCATCACGAACTGTTTCGTCCCCCTCCTCTTCCCCAACCATGGCGTGACGAATACTTGGACTTAGAAAATCATGTTGGATAGATCCCAGGGTAGGAACGAATATGCATCCCTCTACAGTCGATGGTGTTGCTTCAGTTGTATGAGGCAGTGCTGATACTGCAATTGTCGGATTAGGTTGTGATGTTGTAGTTGTTTGAGGCGGTGGTGGTGCTGCATTTGTCGAACTATGTTGTGATCTTGCAGTTGTCTGAGGTGATGGTGTTTGTGTTCTTTGACACTTGTTAGAAGTAGTGCTTTTGTTCCTTGCGGCATGCTTTACGCGAGATGTTTTTAGAGTTAGTGCTCCAAGTGGCATATGTCGTGTCCGACATAACCTATCAACAACTCTTTTTTACACAACTAACATTATCAAGAATGCATCAAAAAACATTAAATTGTAAAAAAATCAAATAATTAAGGTTTTTGTCAATTTACTATTTCTTGCTAATTTGTGCTTTGTTTATTGGCCCTTCTCCCGTCATTACTTGTGCTTTGTTCTTTGACCCTACACCGAATAAACATACATTAAATTTAAACAATCACATAGTCAATATACATGCACATTATTCCATAACTTAACCTATATTCCCTAGCACATATATAACACTCTAGATCTTTTACATATCCATTGACTTCTAAATATTAGCATTTCAAATCCTTTATATATAGCATTTAAAGTTTATTCAACACATTTTACCACTTCAGTTAACAAAGACATGTAAAATAGATTATTGTTCTGTGAGTAACTGCATATTTAACTGTCATTTTTTATGAGCAGTAGATCTGTGAGGCACACAATGTGGGAGCTCAAATCCCTTACCACTTGGATTAATCTATTGGGGCTACTAAATGGTGATTATAACTACTGTAATATTTCATTTTGTTAAAAAAACTGAACTAGAACTAACAATAGAAATTAACTTTTAGCAATTGTGTTGTTGAAAATAAATTGAACATTTCTATAATACAACAAACACTATATTGACTATTGTCGAACTAATGTACAAAGAATTAATAAACAATTTCGATCAATAAATAATTTAACACAAAAACTAATTAACATCAAATATGCAATAGTCACAATTCAATTGTTTTAAACGAGTCAAACATTGCAAAACCAACTAAACATTACAGCACATATATAGCATGCTAGATCCTTTACATATCTAAGACTGAAACTAAAGCTAATTCACATCATCGTTCTCTCCATCTTGAATTATTAGATCATTTGTCATTGGTACTGCCTCAACCTCATTAATTAATCCTTCATCGGCTAAACAACATATTTGTTCAAGTTCTGTAATAGACACAACCGGTGGCATTTCATCGGATTGATAAGGCATGTCATCGTCAATATTATCTATCTCCACATAACCCCTTGGTTTTGTGGTGATTGTATCACACCATCCACGCATATTTATATTCATATCTGCATACGATACATAATACACTTGTTTTGCTTCTTGTGCAAGAACGAACGAGTCATATTGATGATATCATTTATTCATCTTAATGTCAATAATATTGTACTCTTTATTAATTCTTGTCCCACTACTATTTGTTGGATCAAACCAAGCACAATAAAATAGGGCAATCTTGTTGCTAAAGCCATGGTATTCCAATTGAAGAATACGTTGGATGATACCATAAAAATTATTTTCTCCTCCATTAGTAAGACCCTTAACATGTACTCCACAATTAATTGTCTTTTTACCACAACTCCATTCTTCAGTGTGAAACTTATACCCATTAACAAAGTAGATGTGCCATGATGTTGCTTTAGGATCAGGACCGAGAGCTAATGCCTTCACGTATGGACTAGGTGTTCCATTTCTCTCATTATTCACCTAAAAAATACATCCAACCTTAGAGATATTTTATTGGAAAACTACATTAACGTGAGAAATACACTTACATATTCCTTTAGCCATGAATGAAATTGCTTGTGTATAAGACCAAAAGCATCTTCCTCATTGATATGATGATATTGCATGAACAATCTGACACCGATCATAAAATTTATGAGTATAACTTGTACAAAATGGTTGAGAAAAAACATTGGTTTTACATAATGTACTTACTCGAGATATGGCTTAACCTCATCATAATTGATTAGGACATGCATGTGAGCAGATTTCCATTCCTTATCAAGAACCCAATAGTTCTTAGGCTTTCCGCTAGGACGACCACATTTGCTAAAAATGGAAAGCGTTGGTTGGAAATTCTCATGATACAATCCAGGATCGTTTATTAAATTTGTACTTGGCAACAAACTAACGGTCTTGAACTAGTGAGAGAAAAAATAAGTAGTTTCACGATGTTACTTGTCGCGTCTGGGATTTTCATTGAAGCGCGAAGGAGGCAAAAGACAGAAGAGTCTCCATCAATATTATTTATCCCATGGGAGGGAAAGGAAACACTGAGTAAACCTAAGGGATGGAAAGGAGCATGGTGATCGCGACCAAGAGAAAAAGGGTAAGGAAGTCGGTTGCGTGACGGGAATGTATTAGCACCCCTCCCGTCTGTGGTACTCCACGGGATCCACTTAAGTTTGTTCTAATCTAAGGGTGTATAAAAATCTATGTCTAAAGCTTAATGCTAAAATGGAATGCATGTATGCAATGTATTATGTACAAAAAGAAAAGGTTTTATTAGTCGTGTCTTCCGCGGTTGTGAACCTTTGTGCCTATGTACCACCGATTATGCAATGGGGATCAAGGCACTCACATTTAACCTCAAAAGTTTTGGTGTGTTGCATGTTTTTTTATAAACAATGCTAGCGAAGCATGTCCTTTTTGAAAAGGTTTTAAAAAAAAAGTCTGAAGACAAAAAGGTTTGCATTGGTTGGTGTTTTTTACCTTGAATAAAGGTTTTTGTAAGGTTAGAGTATTTTAGGAATTTTCTAAAGAAAATGAGTTTTTGTTTTAATACAAATGCCAAAGGAAAACCTAAGAAAAGGAGAAAGCATACACAAGGGATGACAAGCAATGGAAGCAAGAAAACATCACATATGAATAAGAAAAGGGATGGAAACACCTAACAATGATATCAATTCATAAAAGTAGGATAGAAAGTGATAAAGAGACAGTAAAACATCGATCAAACATATACCTTACAATGATATCAATTCACCAAAGTAGGATAGAAAATGATAAAAGGGATGATACAACACCAACACCTAACAATGATATCATGTCATCAAAGTAGATTGATAAGCGATAAAACATCACATAGTAAACACCTAACAATGATATCATGTCATCAAAGTAGGATACATGCGATAAGAAACGATGGTGAAGCATCGATCAAACATACACCTCACATTGGTATCGTGTCACCAAGGTAGGATAGCAAAGATATAAATCGATGGCGGAACATCGAGCAAACATACACCTAGCAATGATATCAAGTCACTAAAGTAGGATAACAAAGATAGAAATCGATGATGGAACATCGAGCAAACATACACCTAACAAAGGTATCAAATCACCAAAGTAGGGTAACAAAGATAGAAATCGATGATGGAACATCGAGCAAATATACACCTAACAATGGTATCAAGTCACCAAAGTAGGATAACAAAGATAAGAAACAATGATGAAACATTGATCAAACATTACACTCAAAAGAGCAAGAAACAAGTCTAAGGGGGAAAAGCTAGCAAAAATAGCCCTAAAGTTGTCATGCAAAGTTGGTCCTATAGTTGGGATCAAGGGAATTCTACATAATGCTGGCATGCATAGATTCAAGCCTAAGGTCTAATTAGTTCAAACTTGAAAGAGAGTGAACTAAAATACTACGGGGAGCATATGATCACGCAATAGAAAGCAAACACATAAAGCTTAAGGAGTATCCAACTGCTCAAGTAGCACGCACCTAACCAGGTATCATGTCACCAAGATAGGAAGGGGAGAGGGATTACACCTAACCATGATATCATGTCATCAAGCTAGGATAAGGGATGTGGGACACCAAGCTATGATATCGTGTCATCAAGGTAGGATAAGAGGAGGCTTAACCAAGATATCGAGTCATTGAAACAACATTTTTAACCTAAAGTAGGGACTCCTAGTCATGCATCGTTATTCCTACTTCTCATGACAAAGACTAATTGAAAGCGATGCAACTAATGAGGAATAAAATTGAGATTCGAGTGATTCCTAATGGAGAAGGTTCGTTGCCTCTTCAAAGTCACACAAGCAATAAGAAAAATCTAGATGGAGCTTCACCGGGTCAATTAAAAATGATCTGCAACAATTGTAAGAAGCAAATAAATGAAAACGGTCAAGGGGTGTAATCTGTGTACAATGCTACTACATAACGATCAAAATTCTGGTTCTAAACCCAATTCGTGGAGCATTTTTGTTTGTAGAACTTTCAAGCTACCAAAAATGGTGATGGGCCTTAGTAGGAAGCAATCTGATCCACTACCAACACAAACCTCATCCTGCAATTCCATATATCCTCTCAACATTATTTAGATTATTATTGTTAACAAAATAAAACAATAAAATAAATGAAAATGAGGAAACGACAACGTTAGGGTAGGGTTAAAGATGTATGTGTTCTTTCCACTTCCATGTGACTCTAATCTCTTCACGTAGAGCGACGCCTAAAAGAATACCTCGTCTATCACCTCTATCTTCATCGTTCCCTCACTTTCGATTGATCCTTCCTCAGATCTTTGATCATCACATGTTGTTTCCGCGACATTATCATCTTCTTTGTCATGATTCTGCTCTGAAGCCCGTCTCATCTTCCTCGACGGTGTTGTACTGGAATAGAGGTAACATCGCCAAAGCCTCCGTGAAACAACGTGTAGACTTATATGAAACTCACTATAAACGGAATATCGCACACGAATTCAGCCTTAAGTTCTTCCAATTATCATAACAACGACAGTGAAGAACAAGTTTTCCAGCGACGTTGGACTTAGGTAAGACGTGTCACTCTTCTTTTCTCCTTAACACTATTTTCTATTCTTGAATCTTCTTCTTTATTTCTTTGTGCTTCTTTGAGCGTGCGAGTTATCGCTTTTGCGAGATTAATCGAAACCGTGACGTTGTTGTCGTTTGTCATGTGAATTCTGTTGATACTAAAACTGTGTGTAATGTTGTAGGTTTTTGAGAAGTTTGTTGCAGTTAAAGCATGATGAAGAGGAAGCAGGTCAGAGAGAAATGAATGTTTTGATGGAGATTTTTCAGATAATGAAGAATTGTGGAAGGTGTTTGATGAAGGAAGGTTCCACGGTGGGAACTGTTGATGATGATTGCAGAAGGTGAAGGAAGATGATGAAGAATCGAGAAGATTGAAGTGATAATGAGGATTGAAGCTATGTTGAGAAGTGAAACGGATCAAGATTCGAAGATGAAGATCATTGATGCTGACGCGCGATGTGTATAGGAACTATGAAGGTGTTTCAAAGAAAGAATTCTACGAGATTCGGTGATTCTCGTTGGTGATCATGATTGCAGAGAAAAAGGAGAAGGATTGGAAGCTTTTTCTGAATTTTTTTTAGTAATGGAAGATTAAGATTGAGAGAGGAATTTGCTGAGTTTTTACGTTTATTCCTCCAGAAATTAGAGAGTGTTGAAGATTGGAGCAAATAAAGGTTGTTGGAGATTTTGGTGATTCTCCCATAAAAATGGAGAATCCATCGATGCAAGGTGAGAAATCTATTATGCATAGTTACAAAAGTTTGTTATTTGAGAACGAATCTCAATGGTTAGTTTCGAAAGTTTGTTATCAAATCCAATGGTTAAGATTAATTCTATTTATCAGTAATCTGTCAAAGAATTTAGTTTCTGATCCTATGTTGAGCTGTTATGAGCTGATATTTATAAAATCTCTGATTTTTAAGTTCCATGGTTTCCTCTTTTTCTGCATTTTCTGTTTGGTCTTTTCCGGCTGATTAAAAAAATATCAGGCCTGGTTTACAACCAATTTCCGAATCAACTTTGCGGGGCTATTTTTACTGGTGCTAATTTCTGATTTCGATTCATTTAGATATGGTTGAAGTGTTGGATTAAAATATCCAGCGTCATCCTTAGGGATTCAAAGGGCTTAACATCCCCCCATGGCGCCTACATAGGTGTGTTAGGTGGGCTTGGTAGGCCCGTTGTTGGATTCACTATAAGGAAATACAGTAGCACCTTGGCTACAAGAAATTTCTTTTAGCATAGTGGTAAGTGCTTGATCCAGCTTACATGGTATCAGAGCATTGTCATGGGTTCAAATCCCCCCGGCTGAAACTGGGGGAAAGATTATTGGATTAAAATATTGAGTGTCAACCTTAGGGATTCTAAGGGCTTAAAATCCCACCCATGGCACTTAGTATGGGCTAGGCACATCCCCTGAAAAGCTCTTACTATATGGAAATAAGGTTTTAGCACAGTGGTAAGCACCCTCAAAGCATATATATATATATATATATATATATATATATATATATATATATATATATATATATATATATATATATATATATATATATATATATATATATATATATATATATATATATATATATATATATATATATATATATATATATAAGCGTGAACGCCGAACTGGATGCTTAAACATGAAATGACTTAGTGATCTGCTTATGAACTCGACAATTTGCAATGTCATGAATGGTGTTTTGTGTATGTATATACATGGTATGAACTGACTCAATTAATATGTGTATGGTTCTGACTTTTTCTTGGGTTTTATGCAGATTTCTAGGATTCTGATGCACCGATGCAGGTCCAGACAACAGGTTGGATGCAAGGTTTGAACATGGCACGAATCAATTTTTAATTGGCACGGATACGAGCATGAATTCGATGGAGGATTTGGTCATGGAAAAGATTGAAACATGGAGTATTCTTGGGAATGAAGATTGGAGAATTGGTTTATAACTTGGTAAAATCTTATGTATTTGGTATGATGTAATGTGATGTATGGAATGTAATGACTTGGAAATTGTAATGAAACATGACCATGAGTAATGCATTTTGCCTTCTTGTACATGCTCAATCCTTCTTAATACATTTTAAATTTCAACTTTCATTCCTTTTGGCGATTCGTCTTATGATTTTACTTTGAAGCCTGTATTGATTTATGGACCAAATAATGAAGTGATGACTTTTCTCTTTTTATTTTAAACATTTTGTGCATGCATCCAATAGTGTATCCATGGTTAAATGCTCATGTGAAATCAACATGATCTTAAAATCCAACTTGATCTCTCTTGAAGAGTATTGATCTTTTTTACAAGTAGTCTTGATTTAGACCTTTGATGCTTGATTATTTTGTATCACTTCTTGATTTCCAACTAACCTAAACTTGAATGACCATCTCTAACAAAACACCCATATGAAACCCTAATGATCCACGGTTCGCCATGCCTTGTATTTCAAGCAACGGTTGATTGGAGGAAATGCCCTTGAATCATGACATTCCAACCCTTATTTGGGGAAGGAACCACGTGAAATCCTCTTATTTTCACAAGAGATAGTCCCCAAACGCAAGCATTAAGATTATTCACATTACTTCATGATCCACAAGAAAAAAACCTCATGTAAAAATTCAAACCATTTCTAAAGAAGTCCAGCTGAATGACATGTAGTGCAAGTAATTAATGAAAGATTAAGCTATTTTGCAGAAGAAAAGAGATCCATGATAAATTTAGGACCAAAAACTTAATCAAACGGCCTTTAGGAACCCTTGAAGAAAAAGACCATTGTAACCATAATATCAAACCATAATTCAAGACCAATAAGACTTCAATAGAAACAAGCTCGCGTGAAGTGGGAACCTGAAACCATGTGGAATTATAATTCATTCCATGGCCATTGATCCAAGGCTATTGTACCCCAAAATTTTCCATCTCTTTTCTTTAAGACATTTCTTACAAAAATTCTCAAAATGCTCAAGGATTCTCAAGAGATGATCAGACAAGCTCACCTCCTAAGCACTGGGTCCACAACTAGGGTTTTGGTTTTCTCAAGGAAAATTGAATTTATAATGCCTCAAGTGACTTTCATAGTTCATCATAGGTCTCCAAGAATGCTCATACCAAGTTTCAAGTCTTGCATCACAAATTTGCTCAGTCAATTGCTCAGATGATTAAAAATCAGCTGTATTGGGTAAAAAGTCAATTGTAGTCAACATACAGTCAAATTTCAAGATTCTTTGGTCAACATCACCATTTTTAAGTTATATTAATCATTTGATCAAGGGTTGATCATAATTCCTCAAGAAAAGCCCTCAGATCACCAAAGGGGAAAATGGTCAAAATTAGGGTTTTGAATGAGAATGACTGATCATTGACTTTTGACCTAGTAGATGACCTAATGACTTGAAGCATGATATCAAGGGCTCAAATATAATATCTTGACCTAATTACATGATCCAAAACATTTCCAAATGTACAAGTGATTGATAGTTGAAGAATTGAGATCAACTGATGAAAAGTTAATTGTCACAAAAAAGTCAAACTTTGACTTTTTGTTCAACTTTGAACTTCTAAGATCAAGAGTCATTAAACCATTCAAAATTATCATGCTTGACCAACAAGAATCAACAAAGTCAAGAATAGTCAACAAAAAGTCAAAATTTCCAATACTTAGAAAAATACTAAGTGTTTGGTCCTTAATAAATTCACTACTTCATGACCATTTTTCACTAAGATACAAGATGATTCAAGGAAAACTTTCAACATGAAAGTTGTAGGGATTGATGAAATCTAAAACTTTGTCCTTGAGGGTTGATTTCCAAAAATTCTTGGATTAGGAGATATAGGCCCATGAAGTCATGACATTTTTATCTAAACACTTAGTAAAATTTTCAACAAGTTTGGTCAGATTTTTATCCCAACATCTTGGCAAATTTTCACCAAGTTCCAATTTGATTTAGTCAAAGTGGTCAACATGAAAGTTTTAGACAGTGTTTCAAGCTTTCTAAAATGTCCAAGAACACTTTTTTTTCCATGCTTGAGCTAGGAGATTCGAAGAAATGAAGTTAAGCATCCATTCTTGAAACACAAGTCATTTTGTGAAGAACATGAGATCAAATCTCCAAGCCATGCTGAATAAATATTGCTTTGCAGGATTCTAACTTGCAAATCTCACCATAATTAAATGTTTACACAACTGATTGAATCATTTTCCAAGTATTCAAACCATTTTCCAAGTGATTATTCCATTTTTGGCACAAAGTTAACATTGTCATTCTTGCAAAGTAGCTTTAATCACAAAGTCAACTCTTCTTGAGCCTCTAACTTGTTCCTTATGCACACACTTAACATAAAAGATCATATAAGCATACTTAAAGTATCCAACAACTCTATGAAGCAAAGTACGAAGCATTGGAACTATGATCTTCAAGCTTTCTTCATTTATAATCCAACCTAGCCATAACATGTGATCTTGCAAATCTGATTAACCCTTGTCTTAAAACCTCTTTCCTATAAATAGAGGAAGCATTTGCAAGATAAGACACAAGTTCATAAGCCCTTAAACCCCCTCAATCACTCCCAAAGTCAGCATTGCCTTAAAACTCCATTTTGTTGCCATTTCTGACCTTGAACATAAATCACCTAATCCACTCATGCGTTTTCATTCTAAATTATCCACAAAGCTTCTATAACTCATATAGAAGCTATTCAAACACCTGTTATACCAATGTAACATCATTTTCATCATCCTCCATTTTCAAAAACAGAGCCTTGCAACTTAACTTGTCCAGAAGAATCCATGCACTCTCAATCCAAAGTAAGTATTGCAATAGCTTCCTGGGAGTTCAGTGAAGCTATCTAGATCATTATAACATTTCCAAGAGTGCTCCAACTCAAACACGGTTCTCACTTTTGAGGTAAGTTTTCTAAACTTTGAAATTTTTGTACA